GGAAGGAAGGAAGGAAGGAAGGAAGGAAGGAAGGAAGGAAGGAAGGAAGGAAGGAAGGAAGGAAGGAAGGAAGGTGCAGGCTTTCCTGATTTTGGACTCTTTTGCCCCATGTAGAAAGTACAGGAAATGGGAGCTACATGTGAAATTCACTTCAATGCCCAAAGCCTTTACAACAGTGGCCCCACTTAGACCATTTCAGAGCCCGCTGTCTTGGGCACATTTATGGGACTTTCACTTCCCCAAGCTTCACAACAACTTCAGAGCACAAGAGCACTGGTTGGAGTAACTGCATTTAGTTGTAGAACAGTGCCATTGGTCTTTAGGGCTTTAACTTCATCTGTTTTGCTTCCTTTCTGCAACAGAGTGATTTTGGAGGCTTTCAGTGTTTTTCTTTTTGTTGGCTTGTTGAATCAATATTTCCTGAGTGATAATCAAGAGCAGTTCCATAAAACTGTTCTTAACTTTTTCTTTTGATGCTTCTTTCCAAGCAATGTTTACCTAAGGGAAGGGACATATTTAAGTACATGTTTTGTTAGAACAGGACCCCACTGAAAGACACTGACAATCATGGTTAGAGCAAGTTTAGGCCAGTAAGTGCAAAGACACCTACACCATCAAAATGGCATTCACTGGCTCAGTAACTTGCAGACGTCAGCATGAGATTAATGCTCTGGTTCCAGGTAACCAAGGAAAGTAGGAAACATTGGCTTGTACTGTTGGAGCAATGAGCACACTGCTATCCTACACAACCTGCCACCATTCCATGTAACTTCATGCCCTTCTTAAATTGCTCTTCTCTTAAAACCAGTGGTTGTCCCAGAGCAATTCTGATCTTTGTGCAGCCAACACGCAGACCAAAGCAACTGCAATCCTTACAACCGTCTGCATGGAGTATGAGTGAAAGGTAATTTCCCAAAAAAATCAGTTGCTGATGTCCCTTCCGTGCTGATGTCATGGTGCAAGACATGCCTTGAATGCCAAGCAGAGATGCAGGGAAGGGTAAGGGTGATAAAGCTGTGTGACTGCTAGAGATAATTTGGCTCAGACTAAAAGGCAGAAAGTCCAAAACATACAGAGTCAAAAATAGTCCCTGTGCTAGCAGTGACATCCACTCAATTTTAATGACCAGGCAGCAAATCAAAAGGTAAAGGTCTTCTTATTATTTATCCCATCCAGAGATCTGTAAATTGTTGTGCCAAAAAATAAAACTGCAAATACATAAATGGCATAACCCTGGAGGGTTACATCCCAGATGTAACTGACCCTTAACAACCAGATGTGCTGAAAATACTTGATGAGTTATTATAAATGTACCTCTGGCATCTGATTTTCTAGTGTAAACTCCAGATATCTGATTCCCTGATGTCCTCAGAACGGAGCCTGTTATACGTGTTATAAATACGCTATAAAGCAAGTGACAAAGAAACAATTGGCAACAAGCAGCAGACAACACTCTTATTATTTGTAACAAACCAACAGTCACTTAATCAAACCCTGTTTGAATCCTACCTCTCTCTGCAGATTGATATCTGCTCCTTGCAACACCAATTCCCGTACACAATCTATGTGGCCATAGTAAGATGCTACCATCAGAGCTGTTGTGCCAAGCTGGGAGTAAGGAAAAACAAGTCAGTACCTTCAACAGACACCTACAGCAATGAATCAGCCTGTCTGGATGAGACAGCATCTCTGCCAAAGAGCTGGAGGGAGCTTATGATACCTTATTGTCCCAAAATAAGTGCAACAAGTATAAAAATAATGAGTTTTGTTTCTAAATAGCTTTTGTTTCTCTTTTAAATCAGAGAATCCCAAAGTTCTCTGCATCATTTCCAGAAGAATAACCTCAGACACAGGAGCTGAGTGACTCAGCTGAGTCACTTAGAATTCTGAGTCATAGTCAAGAGAAGGGGCTGGCTGATTTGAACATTAATTCTCTATCCAAATAATAAGAGCAAACTCACTCAGTGACTCTTCACATTATAAGAGAGAACTTTCTGTACAGAAGTCTGTGCTCAACTCCCTCAGTACACTATAAGGTCACTTCCAGTGAACGAAGTAGGATTTATATGTATGCAGTGTATGGACAATATGCAGAAACCACATGCATAAGGATGAAACACATCCTTCAAAACCATTCACACACAACAGCTCAATTTAAAGAAGGAATGGGTGACATTACAAAAAAGGAACATGCAGTCTTAATTGTACAAAAATTTTTTAGTCTAGAAAATGTTTATGTCTGATACAATTATTAATGCAGTGCAGTGTGAAAGTTCTTATCCAAAGTTACCCCTCTTTTGAGAAAAAGTGAACAGTAGTGACCTTATTTTTTCACATTGATCTCTGTTCCGTTTACTACAAGCCTTCATTTGGACAACCTTCCCTCCCTTGTCAGAAGGACAGTCATAGCACCAGCTCCAGAAGTACTGCAGGACAAATACTTGCCTACAGTGCCAAAATAAAATGAAAATGAAAAGATAGCTTGAAGTCAATGGGCTTAAAAAGTCTCTTACACTTTGAAGGTATTTAAAGTGAGAGAAGCTGCGGCAAGTTCATGTTTTGGGCTGGAGGTGGCATTAATCCTTGCCAACAGCAGCGTGACTCTGCCAGTCAGTCCCAATGCCAAACAAAAGAAACCAAAAGGAACTTCTCAACCTCCTTTTCCCCTTGCTGTTTGACACAGCTCAGCACAATCAAGTATCTCATCATGTGTTGTAGGCAGAATAGAAAGACCTTCTATCTATGTTATCAACCAATTTCTAATCTCAAAACTAATTTCAAGCCATGTCAATTACAGTAAGGAAATTCCCATGAAATCTGTCATGTGTCTGGGCTCCTCTTGCTTGGCAATCTTGTGCCTTCATGTGGGTGCCCAGTCCAGAGACTGGGTAGAGGAGGAAGAATCTAGGAGGCCAGCAGTTGTTCTAATTATGAGGTCTGCTAGCCAACAGAATCATTGCTACCTGGGCTCAACTGAGCCAACTCTTCACTGTGATCTATTACTACAATGATGTTTCTCTGCAAAGAGAAGCCTGAGGTGCTAGGATCTGTGTTTTTAATGTCAGCACCACAAATAACTGTGTAAGACACATTTTTTAGTGCTGGCAAATTCTTAACCCCTTGCCACTGATGTAAATCATCACGCTATGTTTCAAGCTTGATTACTGACAGGAGAAGGCTTTAAATCATCCTGAAGTACCATAAGACATTCATATGATTCATGTTAGATCCCTACTACACCCTCTGCAAGGTGGGCTATGGAAAGTGATGCAAAATGAGTGCTGTGGCTGTAGGTGCATTGTATGCATACGCTGTCTTTGCAGTCCACATCTACTCGCCCACTGTTGAGCAGCAGCTGGAGGAGAGCCAGGTTTCCTTTTCTTGCAGCCCAAAATGCAGCATTGGCAAGTGGTGTTTCTTTCTGGTGGAAAAAAGGAAAAGGGAAAAAAAAAAGAAAGCAGAAATAAATCACTTTGGAAAATACATTGGGCAAGCATACATATTGCATGCATTCTGCATTCAAGCCAGGCAAGTTTCAGCTTAGTGTGCTGTTCTTTAAAACCCAGAGCATGGAAAGGAAGCTAATTTCATTTATTTTTGCAATTAAAGAAACCAGTCTTCCTGTGCTTCCTCATGTTATTTCAAGTCTTCCTTGTGTCCATGGCAGCCTATGCCTCTTAGATTGCTCTGTAATGAGAAATGATGATGCTAGGCCAGATCCACAGGGAAACATCACAAAGAGCAGCATGCTCAGTGATGCCTGTATTGTCTGCTTCTGTGGTGGGGCTGGCCACAGTTAGGCAGAAACATCCTGCTGACATGTCCTGCTGCAGGGCATCCTCTTGGGTTTCAGATTAGCTCTCTGTCATCTCCTTTTCTGCACACAAAGTTCCAACACAGGAAAAGTATTGCTCATGCATCTATCTCCCAGACTGCTCATTCTACCTCCTGCCTGGAATTAACACCCTGTGACTGTGGACATGTGCAGTATCTCCTGGGTAGGAGTGAATGATGACTGTTCCAGCATAGGGAAAGGACAGGAAAAAGACACGGGACGTTGCTCCTACCCTTTTAATGTAATCAATGCAGAGAGTTGCCAATATTCTGCCTTGAGAGGCAAGTACTGTCCAGGATGAAGTGGAGGGGAAACACTGTGATGGCAATGATATGTATCCTAGGACAGGTTCGTGCTGCTGATTTTTTAATAAGGGTCCAAACCACCTACAGAGGAGTAAAGCATCACTTCACCAATAGTCACACCAAAGCAGAGTCAAAAATACCCAGGGGCATTACTTTCGAGCACACCCTGCCTTCAGGATAACCCAAAGAGAGTACAGAGTGGATATAAAAGTCAATCATTCAGTTTAAGAAATCACTTAGGCACTTCTTATCTAAATGTCAACGCACACACGCAATGTGGCAGGGAATCAGGATTCAATAGTTTTATGCTTTATAATTCAAATGCGCATATACAGCACAGTTTAAATTGCTTCCTTCACTGACAAGAAGACAATAAACTGCAGAAACCAGCAAGAATCATGAATCTGAATTTATCTCAAGTCTGTCTCACTGAGCACTTTCCATGGCTGCATTTTTAATATTATTAAGTTGGAAAATTGGCAGCTGTTCCAGATGAGAGATGTCCCAACTATTCAATAAATTATAAGTCATTCCTATAAATTGATAGTGGTGTTTCTTGTACCAGCACACACAGAGGCAGGAATCTGAAAATTTTAGCAAGCACAATAAACTAAATTCTGATCTTCTTTTCACAGCTATTGTATTTCCCTGGAGAATCTGTGGATAATGCTGATGAAAGTAGAGACAGCAGTTTATACCTTCTTTGCTGGCAACACTGCAGTGTCTTCCTATCTTTACTCTTAGAATTGCTAAAACTTAATGTAAAATCAAACAATTGACATAAACACACAGAAGCTCATGTTGCCCTTTCTGCTCAGATTTATTAGATAGATATTTATTTATAGAGCTGGCAGTTAGGAATATTCTCTTATTGGCTTTGTTATTATGATATTCACTGGAAAGTTATTGCAAAATTATTAGACCTTACAGAATGGACAATCAAATTTCCTTACCTTTTATTGTCCCAAACTATACCTTAAAGTTTTAGAAAGTTTAGAGGTATGTCAATATGTCCAAAAAGACAAAGATTTATTTAATCCACCCCAGTTTTCACTATAAGGGTGCAGTAGCAGACTGAATTTTATTATGGCTCATCATACACCACCACTTTCACTGGTCAGGTAGACAGGAAGTGGAATCCGTATTCAGGAACTCCTCACCTGCTTTCACCAATTCACATGAGAAAAGAACTAAATGGCCAGTGTGACCTTGGACGAGAAGTTCAAAGTCTTTGGCCTTATGAGTCATAAATTCCTACCTCTTTTTTCTCCCTGTAAGTCTTACAGTAGCTTTCCAGCAGAGTTGTCCTTATACTTTGGATCAGACCCAACCAATTGAAGAATTCTTCAGTGCACCAAGGACACAAAACTAAGTTTTTTCTCATTTGTACTGACTCCTAAGAAAAAAGCACTTTTACTTCCCCTTGATCCCCTGCATTGCTTGGGATTCTTTGTATAAAGGTAGAGTATATCTCACACTCAGACCATCAACCATCCATGATTAGATTAAAAATCAGATGTACATATGAGCTATTTTACCTGCTAAGGTGAATGAAAGTGCAAAATCGTTCAGATGATCTGGGAACCTTACAAGAACAGCCTCATTGTGTACCATGTGGCAGTTTATATCTCTGGATCTATATCTCTGTGCTCTTCATGTTCATCAACAATACTGACATCACTGGTAGGCAAAATGTAAGACAGCACTTTGGGGTTAATAATCCGATTAATTATATTATTTTTGAGCAATAAATGGGTTTATAGCTGCAGGATGTGACTGCTGTTTTATGGTTATGCACTCGGTTTTGTCTCATCAGATACTTCCTAAGGAGAGGTAATGTTGAATTTCAAGCAATTAATTGGACAAAATTTTCATGTAATCCTTGTCATAAAGCTAGTCTGCTCCCTAAGCCTCCTCAAAGTAAACAACTGATCCTCAGCACTGATAATCTGGGAGCAGAATGATTTGAAAATTATTAGCTAATAGCTTTCATGAAAATTGCTTGTTTCATTATGTCATTTGTGCCAGCATCAGCAACCTTCAGGATAAAAAAGTTTCACTTCATCAAGTTCTCTAAAATTTTATTTAAAATCTGACTGTGCTAGTAATTTTGGCTGTTTGTATGCTTTTAATGAGAGCCCAAAGATTAAAACCGGCATTATATTAATGCTCTACTGACATCAGAATAAACACTTTTTCAAAAATGGCCTAGAGGAAAATATATATTATAAATCTGAAAAAACTGTTTCTCTGCAGAGATACAGACAAAATGAATTGTGCCTGAACTGTATCTGTGTCATTTCAGGAATATTGAGGGGGAAAGTATAATTTAAATGCTGTGACCACCAGCTCCTGTTCCCTGCTCTACTTTTGACTTGCTGTTTTCAGAGGAAGGGCAGGTGACATTGGGGTGACCACTGAGGAGGAAGAGTGCAGTTCTTAAACAGGATCTTGTAGATGAAAGAAAGAGGCAGTAGACAAAGAGAAAAAAAAAGCAAGGAGAAAGACAATGCTAGAAAATTCCTTTTTCTTTCTTAGTTTCCAAACCAGTCCTAATGGGAAGCAGGAATTGAGTAAAAAGTTTTAAGAAGAAGAGAACAGCCAGTGGCAAACAGATAGTAAGAATCCAAGTTAAGTTCATGATCTTCTGAGAGAAAGAGAAAATTCGGAGCAAAATGTCACAGAAAAGGGAGAGAAAACAGAGAGGGAGGTATGGTCTGCAGTTCTTCAGAGAGAGGGGTAGCAGTGAGTTACTTTGAACAGGAGTACTTGAGGGAATACAGTGTGAGAAATCGGACACAGAAAAGGAGCTGATAGGGACAGAACAGAAAGTAAAACCTGAAGAACAAGTTAAATAAACAAGGAGGCCAAAGAAGGATAAGAAAGCAAGAAGAAGGTGGCATCACCAGTAACCTGGGGCTGGTAGTTGTGAGTAATGAAGGTGCGAAAAAATTCACAGAGACAGAATGAAGGGACAGAAGAACTAAGCAATAAAAGAAACAAGGTGTGAGACCAATGCAGAACCAAAAAGGGGATGACCACAGACACTGCAGTCCAGAAAGCCAAGTGTATCCTGGGCTACATCAAAAGAATCAAGACCAGCAGGTTGAGGAAAGTGATTCTTTTCCTCAATTACTTTGAGCAACCTGGTCTAGCAGAAGGTCTCCCTGCTTATGGCAGGGGGCTGGAACATGATGATCTTTAAGGCCCCTTCCAACCCGAGGCATTGTATGATTTCACCACCAAGTCTAAGACTGAGCTGCCCTTGGAGCAAAGTTTCTCTGCTGCCTGCCACAGGAGGGCTTTACCTGCAGGTGGGAACCACCTGCTGTGCCATCACTGAACTGACACTGAAAGCACCAGCATTCCAGGGGGGAGATACCCTGACAGGAGTGAGGCAAGTACAGGGAATAATCCATCAAATCAAAAAATGCAACACAAGCAATATGGCAAAGGACTGGCACTGAGCTGCTGATCAATAAGAGAAAGGCAAGCACAGCATCCAGAAAGTGCATAACAGAGAAGATGTACATCCATCATAAATATTATCTGTTAACATCATTAGTAAATTGCTGCTTGCTTCCCTCTTTGCCAAATAATCTTATTAATCCTGTCCTTAGATTTAAAAGCTTCTTTAAGGCAATCTTGTGAAATGACCGCTCTTGCGTGGGTTTGGATGGAAGAGGTACAGAAAGTGACAGGAATCACAGCTGGCAAAGGGAACGAACCAGTCTGGCTTCAGTGGCCACCACAGCCTGAAAGGAAGAGCACGGATAAAGACTGCCTCCTAACTATTACACAACCAGCACCAGCAGAGATGGTCGGAAAAGTGAGGAGGAGGCTCCTGACTGCACCAAAACCCACAGCACGGAGCCCGGCCACCCCAGAGCCAGCGTGAGGCTCGCAGTTTATGTAACACAAGGCACGCACCCTTTTGGGGCTGTCAGCTGCGAAAAGCGCCCGCTCCATCCATCAGCTGCCACCGCAGCTCTCCCGGGGCACCCCAAAGCCCGGGAAGGACGTTACCGTTTTCTTTCCTTCCGCCCAACACTACCCTCGTTTTTCCTAAAAAAAAATAAAACAAATCGATCCCCAAATCCACGGATACGACAGAGCACTCCCCCGGGCTGCCGGCATGAACAAGCGCAAAGCGGGAACCCAAACGCGCATCCCGCCGCCCCTCTCCCCTTGAGGCGGCCGCCTCACCTTGAACGACATCCTGCACATCGCAGCGCTCCGCCTCCGCCCCGCTCCGCTCCGCGCCCCGCTCCGCACCGCTCCGCGCCCGGGGCTGCGCGGGGCCGGGGCGGGGCGCGGGGCCGGCGCCTCCCTCCCTCCCTCCCCAGCACATCGTGCTCTGGGGGTTCTGGATACTAGTGCTCTCTAAAGGTGCTTTTTGGGGCGGGAAGGGAGTATTCGGTATATTATTATTATTATTATTATTATTATTATTATTATTATTATTATTATTATTATTACTATTACTATTATTACTATTACTATTACTATTACTATTACTATTACTATTATTAATTTTTTATTTCTTATTATATATTATTTTATTTTATTTTATTTTATCTTCTTTTATTTTATTACCATCATCATTATCATTATTGTCATTGTTATAGTCATTGTTGGTTTTTTTTATTTGGCCGAATAGATTAATGATTAAGTATTAATTATATTCGAACGCGTGTTAATTGTATCAGCATACAATTTGATATAATTGCAGAAAATTATATCTTATTGTTATTTTTGTTGCTTTTATTTATTATTGTTCTACTGTTGCTGTTATTAGTGGTAATAGTACTATTAGAATTAGTATTATTTAAAATGGGCCCCTGCTCCAGCAGCATCCTGAGAAGCCAGCGCCCAGGGTGGGGGACCACTCAGCCTCTGGTTTAGATCTACAGATCAGGCCTCTGCAGCTCAGGAACAGCACTGAAATGATCCAAACCCCAAGAACCTTCACCCCAGCCCTAGCCTCATCACGGTGCTAATGCCACCTGCATGGCACCTCTTTTGTATTTCACATCTGGGAAAAACCTGTTAAGAGATTGTGCTGTGAGTACACCCACGGTGCTGCTGCCCAGACCCGTGGTGGGGGTGAGCATCCAGCTATCACCAGCACTATCTCCCACAGCTGATGTGCTCTCATTAGGAAGCCAGGAAGTTCTTAAGGGCTTCATTTTAAGGCTCTAAAAATGAACAACCATAAAGCCAATTCATGTCCTGTTTTGCCTGGATGCCACAGATTTCATTCAAAGTCTTCGTGATATAAAGTAGGCAAAGCAGGGCATGCTCTGGTGAAAGATTCCTGAATTTCTTAGCTATTGTTGGTTTAAACTGAGCCCTTAGGGATTTTCCTCTTTTGATGTGCACACATAAATCCCATTCATGAGAAAATTATGTGTGTGCATTGAGAGAAAATACTTGTGCTGAGATCCAAATAGTTTATTCTACAAATCTGCAAGTGAAGGGGTTTCTGCAGACCTTTTTCCTGAGGCAATGTTCATCTGTGCATCTGTGCATACAGTAAAACAAACGATAGACAAGCAGATGAAAGCTGCTAATAGCACCAGCTCATCTCAGAATGCATGGCCTAGTATGAACCTTAATTACTGAGATCATACAATGCTGGATGATCACTCAGATTTCTTCTTAAAAATATGGAATAAACCCAGCAGGTTGCATAGCTAAGAGTCATCCAGTTGCACAGTGAAGATTGTCCACTGAAAGAGGAAAATATTACTGATTTGTACAGATTCCCTACCTCACCCTTGGAAAATCTATGTGTTTATTCAATCTGTTGTGAATAACATGCCAAACTTTTCACATTCATCAGCCCAAATATTAAATTTTATGACCAAAAAAACCCCAAAGAATTATCTGGATGAACAACAAAAAAGGAGACAAAAGCAATAAAATTTTTTTGAGTCTGTATTTATCTTGGGTGTCAGGGGAAAAGGAATTAAAGTGCTTTTCTTAATATTCCCACAAAATCTGAAATTGCACCTATTTTCAGTTGCACGTGGTCTCCTGTGACTTTTCTACTCTCATTTTTGGTGCAACAATTTTTCAGAATAGTTGAATACAGAAATACATATATAAAATATGTTCCTTTTCAGTGATCCTTTGAAAGTTTATCCTGGAAAGAATGTAGAAACAATGGTTTTTGATGTAGACCTCTGCCTATTGTTACAATTGTTTATGGGCAAAGAGGACATGCACCTCAAATCTGTATATATATATATATATATATATATATTTATGTAACCAAGAATTTATAATTATTATAACTGAATCTTAACGGTCTAATATAGGAATCATTACTGGAACAGATGTAATTATAGCAGAAAAAGAAAAAAGGTCTATACAGAGAAAAAATCAGTATTAATAACATTACAGTTAAAACTTATATACATTTCCCAGTTTTTACCCCTTTTCTGGATGTTATCCTCATCTTTCCTTGCTAGGTCCTAGAGTTGGTGGTTTCATTCTGGTGCTGGTGGTTGACTATGATGTTCATGTTAAGGGCTGCTTCCTCTTATTTTCTTGTTCCTCTTCTTCTTCTTCTTTTTCCTCCCCCCTCTAGGGTCTTAGTAATTCTGTTTTATACATTTGCTAACATGGTTTTACCTCTGACTCTTCTCTCCCTGGTCTGCAGCTCCTTATTACAACCAAACAAATTCTCATTTCAATTAGAAAAGCTGCTGTTAGAGATAAGCCATGTAGAACCAAATTGAGGGAGGTCAAGAAAAGTTTAAAGAGAGCAAACCTGGCAAGCCTCAGTCCCGGGGCCTTGCAAACTCAATGCCTGTTGCTATCATGGGAATACTGTATTTTAGGGCTACACGTCTTCCCTATTCTTTAGTCTTGGCAGAATATTTAAGATTGCAAGATACTTGGACTGGTTGGGATTTGTTAGCTGCTTGGCAGAATTCATCTGCAAGGCAGCAGGCTGCATTCCTCTCACCTAGTATTTCATCACAGAGATTATTTCAAATATCCTGAGTCATGTTGTTTTGTTCAAATCTGAAGGCTACCTAAGATGAATTGCAGAAACAAATTAAATTACTGCTTTTAAGAGCTGATACAACCATTCTGTGTAAGTCACAGAAAAATCTTACCTGAGCCAGAACAGTTCAAGCACATCTATGTATGGATAAGTAGGAGAAGTAGCAGAAATTTTGTGTTAGACAAAACATTCCTTCAGAGATCATGATCTAAACCTCTAAATTTTTTTATTCAAAGACAACGTTAATTTCTATCTGCTTTTAAAAAGAGCAATAAACAAACAAATAACCATTTAGAGATGTGAATAGAGAGCAATATAAGTTTGCCTGTAGCGTATGGAAATGGATAAATACATTTCAGGAGACAAGATGGTCAATGTGTGTTTGTAACGTCAGTGAACTCTGACACGGGATTCTGCCCCATCTGAAAAACCTGTTGTTGGATTTGCCTGCCACCTTCCAGACTCCTGAGCTCTTTACTGCAGGGTGTGCCACACAACATCTGTGTAACTCAGAAAATATTGCATTGACAAATACACGTCTGCAATAGCTTTTGTCATTTCCCATCTGTCAATAATGTATGTCAACAATGTCGATGCTTTTGCTTTCAATATCACCTGTATAAAGGTCATTGATGAAGGTCCGTGACATTTATTCTCTGATTGTAACTTACTTCTTTGTCTGAAGCTTTGCAAATTGTGGAGATCTCAGTGTAATGTTATTGATTTCAGCTGTATCTGCAGTGTCTTCTTTCCTTGGACATTAATGTTTCCATTAACATTTAGTTATTTAAATATTTTTAAAATCTAAATAGGTTTCTATGTTTTTCTAGAAATAAATTACTTTATCCAAAGTATGAGAAAAAAGGCAACTTAAAATGTAAAATGGAGCAATCTTCAGCAGTTTCAGCTACACATTTTGAAGCCTGATTTTACCTAGAAAACAACAGTAAGAAGCCTGGCTACTATGAATAGCAAATTCTAGTTTTATTTTACTAAAGGTATAAATCTTCTTTGTTACTCTAGTCCTCTCTGCATGATTTCAAAATCCTGGATCATTGCCTTGTACTTGCCTGTGTATGCTTCTGCCTATGACCTCCTGCATGGGCCTTGGGCAAGCCTTTTTGCTTTAAAAATAACTTCTTGTTCTGGCTTACTTAGGTTCTTTTGCCTTGTAACTCAAAATAATGACACAAAGACTACTTTTGAAACCATCAGCCTAAGGATTTTGCATACCAGTTTTTGTCAGCAAGACTCAATACCAGCACACAGTAAGAGCAGCTCTAAAACTTTTGTCTTTCCCAATCTTTGGACTCCTTATGTTGCTGAAATCTTTCTTGATCTTGGCTAAATCCAGTACTGTACTGTGAAGACCAGCAAATCCAGTTGCTTGGCTAGCTAAATCAGTTCATGCTGACCTCTCTGGGACAGCTACTTTAGTGCTCTAGTCTGGATGAGGAGTACACAGCTGAAGTGAGCCTCCTGATTGTCTCCCCTTATGGTGCTCTTCTCATATTGGGAAGGGATCCTGTACCTTCCAAACTGGATCCAGTTTGAGCTAACCTCCAAGAACTTCGCCAGGAGCAGACTCAGTGGACTGCAGCTGCCAACTGGGTTGAAAGAGAGTTCGTCTGAATTAAAACAAACTCAACATGAAGTGGGTACAATGTAGACTTTAGGTCCTCAGCACCATTTGCTCTACAGATTCACTCCTGTCAGGCTGCAGTATTTGCAAATATAGACAGTCTGTGCTGTGCTACTACTACCACAGCTAGCTTAGACATCTCTAAACTGCAGTGCAATCTTTGATACAGAAAAAGTACCTTATTGTAAGATGTCTGGTACAGCCATGTTGGCCCCCCTCTCCTGCCTGAAAAGTAGCCAAAGTCTTGTGCCATGGCTCCTTCCCTTTGCCCTGTGTGCGTTCTCTCATCCAGTGAGAATCTGGGAAGTCTCACTATTTGCCCAGGACTTGCAGATGTTCTGCAGCACCTACAAATGGAGCTCAAACCATCAGGAAATCCTAGGCCTGTCCACTGCAGTTTGCTGTGGCGTTCATGTATGTGTGCTTCATCAACCCCTTTTAAGGACATGGTGAACCTGCCCTTTTTCAGGGCGCACAGTGCAGATTCATGGTACATAACATACACAATAGAGGTGATACTTTCTAAGCATGCTGTATCTACTGACAACAGCTTGTGTCATCAGCTTG